TACATCTTCTGAATTCTATTTCTCTGGAGAACCCCAAATAATATAACACTGCTTCTCTAGACCCACGTGTACCAAGCATTGTCTGAAAATGGAATCAGTAACAGGCTTTTTAAAGACAGACACTGGGAAAAAAATCCTTATTTTTGATACAAGGAATTGAACCCAAGGGCACTTTACCCCTTTTTATATTGAGACATGTTCTCACTGAGTTGCCTGGGCTGGCCTCAAACTTGTTATCCTCCTGAGTCACTGTGAGTACAGGCATGAATTTTTTTTTTTTTTTAGTGTTTGTAGAGATTGTTGCATTGATAAGACACAATGTATGTGCAAGTGTTGCTGAATTGATAGGAACTTTTTAACATGTATTATCTCAATCCTGGACATAAAAGTTCTACTCTCATCATGAGGCCATGATCCAAAAACATTTTGCCTTTATGCTAAAGGCACGCTAAAACACAGAAGGATGGGAATCATCTGAGCCACAAGTTCAAATTTAAATGACTGAGGTGGCATTTAAGGCCTTTAGACATCTGAAAGAGCCAGAAGCCAGAAAGTGATTAACATATTTAGAAGTCAGTTAGCCTGGGCTCCGCCCCAGGCATAGTTAGGTGGCCTTGGACAAGTTACTCAACACCTCTGAGTCTTAGACTCTCATTTGAAAAAAAAAAAAGAGAATACTAGCACTTGCCTCAGAGAGTTGCAGAATAAAGTGAGAAAACTGCTTAGTCTCCCCTAATGTATAGTGAGCACTTCACGGAACCTAGGAACTATACTTGCAATGGTGGTTACCTGTTGGCGCCTGGCACAGAGCAGTCCAATGAAGATTTATTTCCCAGCCTCAGCACCCAGCACTTGCCAATCCCACCCCAAGCTCCAGCTGAGCCCTTAAACCACCACAGCAAACTCTAAGAAGCTCCTTGGTGACCAGCCCTAGGAGAGGCGCTCAGCCCAGGGATCACTTCCCTATTATGGGTTTGTTCATGTCCTAAGGAATTTCCACTTGCAGCTCCTTCTGCCCCAAACAAGTTTCTCTCCTTTTCCCCTTGGTTAGCCAGGCTTCAGAGCTGTGCTCAAACGTCAGCTCCTCCAGAAAGCCTTTCTGGACAGCCAAACTAGAAGTTCCCTTATCATATACTCTCAGGACCCCTGGGTTTTTCCTTCATAGCACCTGATTATTGAACACAGGCTCTTTGGTCAGTGGCCTCCTTTTGAGAAAGAACTCCAAGAAAAGGGAGGCCTTGGGGTACTTCCCATCCCTGAATCCAGCCAAGTGTATGGAGCTCTCTGTATCTGTGGGCTCTACGACCATGGATTCAACCAACTTCAGACTGGCAATACTCCCAAGTACCACATCAGTAATGAACATGGACAAACTTTTCCCTGTCATCATTCCCCAAACAATGCAGTAAGGACATCTAGTGTCATGGCATTTAGAAATTATTCAAGGAATACAGGGTAAGGGAGGTGACAAGCAAATAGCACACCATTTTGTACAAGGAACTTGAGCAGCTGCATGAAATGGCATCTGCAGAGATCCTGCAACCTAACCCCGACAAATACCAAGGGATGATCCGGGATGTGTAGAAAGACTCACCTCAGGGAATGAAGTTGCTTGGAATGATGATGATGACAGTGGTCTAAGTGTGGCATTTGAGGCAAAGTTAACTGAGGGGTGCTGAGTTCTCACTCGAGTCAGAAAATGATGCTTAATCTCATTCCTAGTCTCACGCCAAAGGCCAAAGGGTAAGTGACTGCCCGGTACACACGTGGGCAAAACAGAAAACTGCAGAGTGGCCTAGAGGGAAAGAAATGGTTTCAGTGATCATAATAGTCTAAGGGGGGAAAAAAAAACAGTCTAAGATACAAAAAAAAAAATAAAAGATTTGGAAATTTTTTGTGACAGTAATTTTTTGGCAGGGGGCTCATGGAATCCCTTCACTTTCAGGTGAAAACATTTACCCAGAAACAAAATTAAATTTGTAGACATAATCTGTTACATTTTACGAAAGTCTGCCTCTGTAGATAACAACACTTAACTGTGGCCCACCACACATATTAAATCTAGAACTCACAAGGTATATCTTAGTGCTGATGAAATATTTAAACAATCACTGTGAAATTTTTCTTTCTGCTTTTATTATAAAAGCAATATAAGTTCATGGTAAGAAAAACAAACAGAACAGGAGGGAAGAAACTGAAATCTAAATTTCTAATGCTGGTGCCAACCATTCAGTTCAACTCCCCAATGGCCACTGCTAGTGTTGAGATTTTGTATCATTCCAGAGTTTTCCATGCCATCCACATGAAGATCCAATTTGCTTTTCTGCTGTTTTTAGACAAATGGGATTTTACTACACGTTATTGGTTTACAACTGCTCTTTTCTATGCATAGCAGGCACTGGGTGTCTTTTCCACATTCGACTTTTAATAGCTGCAGGACAGTTCACTTAATAGAGGTGCATGAAAAATTGACTAGTCTCCTATGATTGGAGATTTAGTAGAAATGTCCAAGAAGGAACAATGGTTCACACAATAATGACGAATTGCACAAGCTCCCCACTAGAATGCAAGCCCCATGATTTGCCTAGTTTGTTTACTCTCAGAAATTAGTACATACACATGGGGCAACCACTGAACACACCAAGCGCCCAGTGAACATTCGCTGGGTATATGTATCTTCACATGTGCATCCATCTACACAGGAATTTAAAACTTATATAAATATTTTTTGACCAATCACACTCCAAAATGACTGCTTCACTGTATATTCCTATCAGTGGTTTTGTTGTTGTTTCTTTGTTCTGTTTTGACAGCTAGGGACTTTGCATTTAAAGTTCAGTGCAGTAGAAATAATGAATGCTGTATATTCACTTCTAATTGCTTCACTATAACAAGATAACCGGTTACCTGAAACTGAGTGGCTTAACCAACACAAATTCATTAGCTTCCAGTTCTAGAGGAATGGGTCAGTGGAATGATCCTTCTGGAATCTCTCAGGGTAAATCCTTTTTTTTTTTTTTTTTTTTGCCATTTTCAACTCCTAACAGCTGTATTTCTTGGCTTAGGGACCCTTCCACATCACCCCAACCTCGGTTTCCCCTGTCACATCTCCTCTGGTGCTGACCCTTTTACCCCTCTTTTTTCTTTAGAAGAACCCTGTGATGACACTGGCCTCACCTGGATAACAGGGATGATCTCCCATCTCAAGGTCCTCAGTTTAACCATATTAGCAAAGCCCCTTTTGTCATGGATAATAACATGCAGATTAGGATGGCACCTTTCAGGAGCCATCTGCCTACCACAGCTGGGCAATCGGGCTAACACATCAGCATTATCAGTTCCAAAACACATTCCCTAAACGTGGGCTGAATTCCCATTACCCAATCCTGAACTGAATCTGAGAAACACACTAACGAGCTCCTCAGCCTGGGCCAAATTACAGTAACCTCCCTGGGCCTCCATCATTCTCACTTGTGGAACTGCAGAGATGAACATCTGTTGCCCGGGATATGACACAGCCATGTCGTTCCACTTAAGCAGAACTCAGGAATTACTGTATGCTGTTTCCATCATGACAAAATGTAAACAAAAAAAATAGACTATTAAGAAGGTAGAGAGACAGATCCTCTTGGGGATCTGTCAGTGTGAATGTCAATGGGTGCTGATATTCTAGGGAGCAGTGTGTCAATGCGAATGCATCATGAAAACCCTTACAGATATGGGTTCTCTTTGTTCCAGGGATTATCCATTTCCAGAAGTGTATTTTAAGGACATAGTTAAATTTCTACACAAAGATATGTAGTGAAAGATTATAATATGGGGGGAGGGCAGAGACAAACTTTTATTAAGTGTTCTCTAATAAAGGATTAGATTAAAAAGAAAGAAAGAAAGAAAGAAAGAGAAAGAAAGAAAAAAGTGTGGTACACCCACATCACAGACACCTCAACAGTCATATCAAAGGACTTTGTGAAAGCGCATTCATATCATGTTTTAAAGTTTGCTAACATTAGTGACAAACTAGGGGTTTAGATTAGGATCATTTATTGTGTCACAGAGGTAAAAGAACTCTGTGTGACTGTGTGTGAGTGTGTGTGTGTGTGTGTGTGTGTGTGTGTGTGCAAGTGCACAGAGTTCGGGGGGGAAAAGGACTAAAAACAGATTTATGAAGCAACAGTGGTTATTTCTGGGTAACTGGAATATCAAGTCATTTTATTTTTGCTTAGTTGTATTTTCTATTTTCTGGCGATGAAAGTGGAGTCGTGGGGAGGGACAGGGGATTCCTGCCCAGGACCAGCCCCCAGTTGGGTGAACAGGCCTCTCTGGGTGTGGACAAATGCGACGCACGGGGTCCCTCTAGTGGAAGGCGGGACGCAGCTGCTGCGGAGACTCCAGGTGGCGACTTTTAAAATAGCTTATTGTATTCAAGGCCTTTAGAAGCAAAGTAGCTGATATTCTGTTTAATTAAAAAAAAAAAATAGGGAGGAGGTAAGCTTCAAAAATAAAGACTAACCCTCATCCTGAGGAAAAATCTAGGCGCACCTGAAATACTAACAATTCGCTTTTTTTTTAACTGTCGATGTTTGGAGATTAAATACCTGAGACTTTCCTCTCTCCTGGGACTTTTGTAGCTTGCGTTCTAAGTCTAAGGTACCCAGAAGCATCAGGATGGAGCCTGAGGCCTGGAAGTGACGCCACTCCCGAGCACTAACACCTCAGAATCTTCGGTTTCCACTCGGCTCCACTCCGGCACCGTTTGACCAGGACTGGCCCTGGGGTTCGGCTTCCTTCGGCTACCTTCGGGCGACTCTAGTCTCGGCCTCGGTTCCTCTTCAGCTACCTTCGGCTTGCCCTCGACTTGCATTCGGCTCTCTTCGGCTACCTTCGTCCGGCACTCGTCCCAGCCTCGGCTTTCCTCGCCTCCTCCTCGGCTGCGTTCGGCCAGCGCTCGGCCTCGCGGGCTCGTCTCTCTTCGGCAGCGTTCGGCGAACGCTCGTCTCCGTTCGGCTCTTTCCGCCTTCATTCGGCCGCGGCCCGGGAAGGGCGCCCATGGAGCCGGGATTGCCGGCTCGACGGATAGCCATGGCGCCGCTGTTGGAGTATGAGAGGCAGCTGGTATTGGAACTGCTCGACACGGACGGGCTGGTCGTGTGCGCCCGCGGGCTCGGCGCAGATCGGCTCCTCTACCATTTCCTCCGGCTGCACTGCCACCCGGCCTGCTTGGTGCTGGTGCTCAACACGCAGCCGGCCGAGGAGGTGCGGCGGCCAGTGAGGGGACCCCGGGGCGCCGAGGGCCCCTGAGCGCTGGCAGGCCCTGGCGCGGATGTAGGCTTGCGACAGGGATGGCGGGGCTCGGAGCAGAGGCAGGTCCGAGCACCGAGGGAGGGCGTTGAGTGGGATCCTTGTCACTGCGCGAGGACCCTGCAAGAGGAGGTGCTCTGAGCGGAGCCGGGAAATGACAGGAGGAGGATGGGGTGGGGGTGGGATGGAGGACCCTGCCAAGGAGGCGCCGAAGTCTGCAGCGGAATCTAGACCTGATAAAGGGGGTGTCCCAAAGCTGGATATTAAGGGTGTTTCTGGGGGTGTCAGAGGGTGATGGAGAAGATGCTGAGGCTGGAAACCCCTGTAGTGAAGAGGAAGGCCTGGAGAAATAGCACAGTCCCCAGGAGGGCTAGGGGAAGAGGGCCATGATGTCAGAGGGGAGGGAGCTGGAAGCTGAGGATCCTGGGAAGGTTAACTGAGTTTAAAAGGGCTGACACTGAGGAAGATGGAAGGGGGGCACCACTGGGCTGGGGACTGTTGATCCTGAACACAGCCTGGAGAGACAAGTCTGATCACCCCCTAGATAAAGCAGGTGGCCAGGGGAGAAATGTCAGCAGATATAAGTAACCACAAACTCCTTCTGGGTAAGGGGACCCCATTTACTTCGTCTACGTATCCCCAGTGCTTGTAGAGTAAACTGGAGGGGTAATGAGCCAAGGGACCTGTTGACATTCTAAAGTCCCTCTAGGATGGTTCGTGATAGAACCAATATCCTAAAACACTCTATGGAGAAAGGATTCCCTTGTTATCTTCTGGCTTGAGTGGAAAGCATTTCTAGGTAGCAGAAATCTTTTTGAATCCAGAGTTTAAAAGTTATTTTGTTGTGACTGTTAAAGTGCTAATAATGATTGAAGTACATTTATTCCATAGTGTGACCCCTAAAACAAAACAACAACAACAAAAAAATAACCTGGTTAAGTGTAGATGGGTTGATTGGTCAGCATAAAGTAATAGCCTAGCTTGTGTATTCACTGTTAAGTTTATTATCTCTGAAAAAGGCAGAAATTCATTTTAAATACCTGCAGTCTATTAAAAACTGCCCAATAGCTGTGGTGCACATACTTTAGGATGTGGTGGTGCACTCCTGTAATCCGAAGGACTTGGGAGGTCAGTGCAGGAGGATGGCAAATTGGAGACCAGCCTCAGCAATTTAGGAAGGCCCTAAGCAATTTAGCAAGATCCTGTTTGAAACAGTTAAAAAAACTGGGGATGTAATTCAGTGGTAAAGCACCCAAGGGTTCAGTCCCCAGTACAAAAAAAAAAAAAAAAAAAACCTTTGTTAAATAGCCTACTAATGAGTTTGATTTGATTTAGGAGTATTTTATCAGTCAGCTGAAGATAGAAGGAGTTGAACACCTCCCTTGCCGAGTGACAAATGAAATCGCAAGTAACAATCGCTATGAGGTTTACACAAGAGGCGGTGTCATATTTGCAACAAGTCGAATACTGGTGGTTGATTTCTTAACTGACAGAATACCTTCAGATTTAATAACTGGTAAGAATTTGAAATCTCTTTATGTCTGCATCCATGTGTACTTTTTTTATCTTTGTCTGTCTGCTCTGCCCAACTCTACACTAGATCTTTCTTGTGAGCAGCATAGTAGCTCTAGGTCCTTCTTAACTAACCTCACCACAGACAAATGAGCAATGGTTGTGTTATGACCTGACAGCAGCTCATGGGGGGCATAGGACTTTTTCAGCTCCATCACAATTTTATGGAACTAACATTGTATAGGACTTTTTCAGCTCCATCACAATCTTATGGAACTAATATTGTATACATGGTCCATCATTGATGGAAACATTATTAAGTGGTGCATGACTATATGTATAAAGCTTGACTTTGCCTTTTATGTTCAATAAATACTTATAGTCAAATGGCTTTTGCTTTTACAACTTAACCAGATTTTGAAATGTTTGTAAATTTTTTTTTTTTTTTTTTTTTGGTACCAAGGATTGAACCCAGGGGCACTCAACCACTGAGCCACATCCCCAGCCCTATTTTGTATTTTATTTAGAGACAGGGTGTCACTGAGTTGCTTAGCACCCTGCTTTTGCTGAGGTTGGCTTTGAACTCGAGATCCTCCTGCCTCAGCCTCCCAAGCCTCTGGGAGGATTACAGGCATGTGCCACCACCCCGAGCTTGTAAATAATCTTTGAATAGTTCCATTAATGCTGTTTTTTCTTAAGAGTAATTATTTCTATGATATTAAATTAGGYCAATTATTTGCTCAATTAATTTTAGAACAATGTTTTTATTTTGACCAGAACGTATAGAAAAGAATTTATACATGTAGAAATTCATATCATATAGCTAATTTAGGGACTTTGCTTCTCAGTTTACCCTGTGCTTCTCTCCCATCATAGCACCAGAACACTACTTTACATCTTCCTGTTTATTAGTCTGCCATGCTTGGGAGATAAGCTTTTTAAGCACCAGGAAGACGTTGTTCATCCCAGGCATGTGACTGGTGCATGGCAGATACTAAACACAGTTGTTGGATGCATGATGGTCAGAAGGCAGTGATATTTAATAAACTTCAGGAAGGCAGAGAACTTGGACATTCATAAGCATTCTCCCTGCTGTGTCTATCATACTGCCTTGAACCTAGAAGAGCATCAAGAAATGTGTAATGAATTAACTGTATGGTTTATATGGTTCAGAGTGAACTGGTTAAGGAAAAGTTTTGTACTCTTTTATAACATTTACAGTTGTTATAAACAGTGGCATGGGCCTTGCAGCCAGACTCACCTGACTTTGAATGCTAATATGTTGCTTACAAACAAGTTCTTTAATTGTTAGAACCTTAGTTTTCTCATTTCTTTCTTTCTTTTTTTTTTTTTTTTTGCTTGTTTGTTTGGTTTTATTTATTTATTTATTTGTACCAGAGATGAACCCAGGGTCACTTAATCACTGAGCCACCCAACCTCAGCCCCTTTTATGTCTTATTTTGAGACAGGATCTTGCTAAGGTGCTAAGGGCCTTGCTAAGTCGCTGAGGCTGGCTTTTGAACTTTCAATCCTCCTGCCTAAATCAAGAAAATAGTGCCTCTTAGAATTATAAGGATCAAATGAGATAAAATAAAATGCTCAGCCTAGTGCCCGGTACATAGTAAACTCTTAATAAATGATAGCCTAAAAATGGCTTTTTTGAACCAGAAATCTTTCTGTGTCATGAAGTTTCTTACTGTTGGCCACTTTATCCTAAGCTTGGTTTTATTTATTTATTTATTTTTTAATTGACAGAATGAAAAACACATAGAAACTGCCACTAGATGTCAGTATTACTCTGTTCCGCCATAGCTAGTTAGGCAGAAAGCTGTTGGAATCCAGGCCACCCTCAGGTCCAGCTTGTAGGTGGTTCCTAATTAAAAGTGCCAGATTCCCTCCCCTTTCTCATCAAGTCTCAACCAGTAATGAAGGTGGGACTGCACTTGCTTGGCTGAGTGGAATGCAAATTAATGCCAGAAATGAATTCTTTCCAGTTCCTCTTCCCTTGGGATTCTCCCCCAGGATCCCTGTAAGAATCTCATCAAAACTTCTACAGACTCAAGGGCATTCCCTGGAGCGTGTGACCCCCTGAAAAGAACTGACACCCCCCCCACACACAGCTCCAACCCTTTTCTCTGCTCCCACCTATTATCACAGCCATTCTTTCCCAGGTCTCCCTGACAACTAGAACTCCTAAATAGAGAGAGAACTTTACAATTATCTACCCAGATTGTACTTTCCAAAGAATGTAAGACAGGACAATGCATCGTTTATTGCTAAAACTGATCCTGCTATCTCCAGAGAGAATTCAGAACATCCTTCCCAGAATTTTTTTTTTTAAGAAAGTTCCATGTTAGAGTTTTTTTGTAAACCCAGTGCTGGAATTCAGTTTTATATTCATTCAACAAACATTTCACTTATTAAGGATTCCTGGGTTTTGCAGAAAGGTGCTGAAGCTATGAAGGTGAGCAAGCAGTATGGTGAACTTAAGTTCAGATATGGCGGTCCGTGAGCTCACCTTCACTGTGCACCAGGTCTGTGTCCCTATGCAGGTTCCTTAATTTCTCTGTGCCTTGGTCTTTTTTACCTGTAAATCAGGAATGCAGTAGGGCCTCCCATTGAGGCATAGAGTGCCTGAGATGCAAAATGGGTTCTCCTTCCTTCTGGGTTCTGGAAGAATGACAACCCTTCTGTACACCATATTTTCTAAAATTGAGGTTCACTTTTTCTTCAGTAGAACATTTTTGTTATCTTTAACTTTATATAATATTTCAACCCAAGCTAATTAGACTGTGGCCCATTCATAGAGTCCTTGGGAAAGACCCATCTACTACATATTCTAAAACTGAGGTTTACCTTTCCTTTAGAAGTCCATTTTTATTATTATTAACTTTATGTAATATTTTAACCAGGCTAATAAAAAGTTGCTTATACATAKAGAGAGTTCTTGTTAAAACCAGCCTACTCAGTACAGAATATTTTCTGGGTAGTAAAGTAGCATGAATGTGTATTGGAGGTTATTAGAAAATATTTTATCTATGGATTTATAAGTTAATTTTTATCACATTGGAAACATAATTTGATTAGAGTAAATTTTAGTTCCATCCACATAGATCTAATAAGGGTTGAATCCAGGGGCACTTAACCACTGAACGACATCCCCAGCCCTTTTAATTATTTGCTTTGAGACAGGGTCTTGYTAAATTGCTGAGGCTGACTTTGAATTTGTAATCCTCCTACCTTAGCCTCCCGAGCCACTGGGATTACAGGTGTGCACCACTGCRCCCTGMTAGATCCAATATTTAAACGACAAAATAGCAGACTAAGATTTGAGTTTATTGAACTATGACAAGGGCTCCTAACTCATCATTAGTCTCATTTTTCAAACCCTGTGAGTGATAAAACTGGTACTGAAAATACACACGTATATGTATGGCAAATGTATGTACATGTGTGTGCGTGTGTAGCACGTGTATATAGACACAAATGCGCTTACATAGGACTTTATTTAATCTCTCCAGCTGTCTGTGTATATGTGGTTACCAGCTTGATTTAGGCCTGATATTCTGAGAATCATCGTAGAGTAACTGAGTTTTTGATTCTGAAAATGACATGTGTTTACCCTCATATCATCTTGTGTCTCTCCCTGTCATCACTAATCACATTGCATGAAAAATGGCATGTGTCTAAGAAAGAACTTCTGGCCCAACAGTCTCATTTTATAAATGAGAAAACATGTATTAAGTATATTCATTAAAGGTTCTTATTCTAAATAGACTAGTTTAAAGAGACTCAAACTGAAGATACTCTGATTCTAAAAATTGATTCAGTCTCATAGGCGATGCAGGCGTTGCCTGAACTTCCAAACTTAAACTATTTTGTCCCCATTGGGTTCATATACAAAAAGAATTCACTGCCCACCTGCTTCCTTCAGCAGGCCAAAAACCCTATTCCAGGGCCTCGAGGCTTATTGTTCCCTTAGCTGGGACCATTCTTGGCCCAGATGACTCTGGAGGTACTCTTCCCGGCCTCCCTCCCACATCTATTAAAGCATCACTTTGGTGAAGCCACCCTGTCTAAAAATCCCAAACCTCCACCGCCAGGCCTCATTCTCCCTCTCTTCTCATTCATTCTTTCTCCTTACCACTTGAAACGTGCTAACTATTTTTATTTATTATATTGTGTACCCCACGTTCCACAGGGGTGGGGGCTCATATCCCTTTTGCTCATGGCTCTATCCCCAGCCCAGAACAGGGCCTGCCCCTTAATCAAGTAGGCATTCCAGAGAAGGTAGAAGGAATGTGTGGATGAGCAGCAGTGTGTGTGTAGCTTAAACTGTCCCTCCCCCCTCAGGCATCTTGGTGTACAGAGCCCACAGGATAATCGAGTCTTGCCAGGAAGCATTCATCCTGCGTCTCTTTCGCCAAAAAAACAAACGTGGTTTCATCAAAGCTTTCACAGACAACGCCGTGGCCTTTGATACTGGTTTCTGTCACGTGGAAAGAGTGATGAGAAATCTTTTTGTGAAGAAGCTCCACCTATGGCCAAGGTAAATCATGTGTAATACATTTTTGTAACAGGGTCTGCTGTAATTTAATTGCACCTTAAAAATAGAACACAAATATAATATGATGTCAGAGTGACGAGTTGTACTAGGTAGATAGATGCCCTATCATGTTCCTAACAAATGCATCCAGATATAAGTATATGTGGTCACCCCATTTGTGAATCTTTGGAAAGCAGAAAGAGATTTGAGAGTTCTTTTTCTGATAGTTACTCAGATCCACTCAAGGACAGCTACTTTACTCCTTCTCAAACATTTAGTGAAGCCCCCAGCAGTTAGAGGCCCACAGACACAACACCTTTTACTSAACTGCAGATTTTATTGGCCAGTTCTGCCACTTCGGGTTTGAGGATTACTCACTGGGGAACTGATGCAGAAAGATTTTGAAGAATTTATGTAAATTTCCAGGGAAAACAAAGCTTCAATTTTCAAACAGTTTTGCAACCTTTGCTAGCAAGTATTTTGTTTATACAGTATGTTAAGAGTAGTAGTTGGGGCTGGGGACAAAGCTCAGTTGGTTGAGTGCTTGCTTTGCATGCACTAAGATCCCCAGCACCACACACACACACACACACACACACACACACACACACAAAGAGTAGTAGTTGTAATACTTTTCCTTTTTTGATTGTACCTTATTTCAGAAGTCAGCAAACTTTTCCTATAAACGACCAGAAAGTAGATATTTTGGGTTTTTCAGGCTATATGGCCTGTCACAATAACTCAGCTCTGTTGTTGAAAAATCAAAAGTAACCGAAGACAATGGGAAACAGTGGGTGGACTGTGTTTCATAAGCCTAATGAAAACAGGCCTTGAACTTGGCCCAGACCGGAGTCTGCTGACCTTGCCTTATTTGATTTACTTCTATTGATGGAGGTCCAGAGTCGTCTTAAAAACATTACCATTTTGCTTTCCATTTTGTTCATTCCATAATTTCACTCGCAAAAACTATTACAGTATTAAAAACTGGAACCAGGAAAACAGCTCTGTTGAAACTCCAGAAACTATTTGTCTCTTCAGGTTCCATGTGTCCGTCCACTCATTCTTAGAGCAGCACAAGCCTGAGGTGGTGGAGATCCATGTTTCCATGACACCTGCCATGCTCGCCATCCAGACGGCCATCCTGGACATCCTAAATGCATGTCTCAAGGAGCTGAAGAGCCACAACCCAACTCTTGAAGTGGAAGATTTATCTTTAGAAAACGCTATTGGGAAACCTTTCGACAAGGTGCTCTTTTTTTCTTTTCTACTTTAAGTATGATTTGTTGTCATTTTAAAGAATGCAAGTTCTTTTAATATTTGCAGTGTTCTTAATAGAAATTTGCTGTTATCTTACAATTCAACTGGAAATGATTTAAGGTACACCTGCTTTGGTTTATCGCAAAGTCTTTGTAGTAAAATAGGGCGGCTCAGCATGTGAGCATAACTCAATTTTGCAGCTCTTTTGTAAGTAGTCATCTCTTATTTTAACTATAGTCAAGAGGAGTATAAATAACTTTGCTCTGAAATGGCAACATTTGGATATCTACAGGTAGAAGAGTTTTACATAAGAATGCTTCGTAATTATGCATGAATTTATCGTCTCTTTTTTGGAATAAAAAAAATAACTTGGATGATAAATGTGAAACCCCCTGTGTCTTAAAATTACATTCCAAATTGAGAAAATGGTATGACATTAGTTTGGGGAGTTTTTTTTCACCATATGTTAATTTTAATACTGGTATATAAATGTCTAATACTATAATGAATTATAGATCCAGAAAATGCTGGCTTTTAAAATTTCCAAGCAACTTTTTGTTATTATACTTTGGTAGAAGATGTTAATGTCTTTTTTAAGCTCTGAATCAATTTCTGTGTTACTGATGATTATCAAAAAGAACAAGTTTAACTTCTCATTTCTCTGATTCTTTCAGAGAATCACTTTTATTGTGAAATATTAACACATAAAACTAATTTCATGTATTCTGTTTCTTCATCCTAAAGTGTGTTATAATTTAATGAGTGCTGATAATTTGTATATATGATATAAATGGCATATATCATATATATTATTTATACACATATAGACTATATATGACACTAAACACTAGAAAAATAAAAATAGCCTATATATTTTACACTGGATATCTGTTTATCATCCACTGGCTAATAAAAGCCAAAGCATTTTTTTAGATGTTCTTTTAGTAGTCACATTTAAACATAGACATAGCTTGTATCTTGTTTAAAAAAAAAAATAACCTTTTGTAGATCTTTTTACAAAAGAGGCATGTCGTTAGTTTAATGTCCCAACTTGTCTAGGACAGTCTTGGCATCTTCCTGTGGTCCTGGAGTAATTATTAATAGTAACTCATTTCATTTTTATCAGAGTCCTGGTTCGGCCAGTAGATTACATGGTCTTCCAAATAACTATCTGCTCAGTATTCAATTTGTTAGATGAGATGCTGTGCAATGACACTGCTTCTGTTCATTAAAACAGATACTGATTTTCTGATGTTTATCAGGCTTTTTCCCTCCTTGACAATAATATAGATAAACATAATAATGGGTTGACTTCTATCTGATCATAAAGATTATAGCAAAAGATACTCGGCTTTGTATTTGAAAAATTAGATTTATTATTAGAATTTTATGAACTGAAATTTTCTAGTCACTTCCTTGGGGAATAATGTTTTGGGTTCCTAATTGTAGTAAAGTATATATCACGTGAAAATGTACTGTTTTAACCATTTTTAGGGAACAAGGAGCAATCCTCATTGAAGGTACAGTTTGTGTTAGAAAGCTGTATTGAATATATTTAGCAATACTCAGTTTCATTCTTGTTTTAGACAATCCGCCATTATCTGGACCCCTTGTGGCACCAGCTTGGAGCCAAGACCAAATCCTTGGTTCAGGATTTAAAGATACTGAGAACTTTGCTACAGTATCTCTCTCAGTACGACTGTGTCACATTTCTTAACCTCCTGGAATCTCTGAGAGCAACGGAGAAGGCTTTTGGTCAGAATTCAGGTGTGACATAACACTATTAATATTATTCTAGGAGTTGATTTGAAGGAAGTGTTAGATTTGGGGGGGGCCAGATATGGGACGTGCTATATTCAACTACATGTTATATACTAAGATCTCAAATTACATTTTATGTTCACTGCACAAGGATGTAGGTTTTATTGATAGCTAATGTTTCCGCCTACATAACTTCTGTTCTGTGTAATAATAAATATTCATATCCATTCCAGGCAATTTTATTTCTAGAAAAGACCGCGTATAGTACAGGCAGTCTCCAACTTAGAAATAGGTTGTGTTCTGGAAGTTTAGTTGTTAGGCATTTAAAATTCATTTTCCCCAAAGAGACAGCAAGGGGTGGATTTCGTCAGCTAGTATTGAGGACTGAAAAGAAGAGATGTGCAGGAAATAACACATATACACAACTGGTTGCCATCTTATTTTCCTGCCAGCTACACCCTTCCCCCATTACCAGGACCCTCGGCACAAAGGGTCAAGATTTAATACAATTAATAATTTGTACTCCTTCAGAATCATCCTTAAGTCATAACCTTTAAACGTTAAGTCAGTAAAGAATGCATTTACTGCTAGTACACTTTCCTTCCGCTGCCTTGGTTTACACAAATGCATCAATAATGTGATCCACCACAGGACTTTTATACCTTTATTGGAAATATCAACACAGTGATAAAAAAAAAAAAAGCCAAATAATGTCTTTGTATTATTTTGAGAAGAGTTTGGGCATTACAGACTGCCTAAAAACATCTTGGGAACACCCAGGAGTCCATGGACCATACTTCAAAAAGCACTAGTCTAGCCAAACAGTGGTAGAGGCCATAACTATGAGGAAAGTCCTGGTAGGTAGGAAAAGAAGATGGCGGCCAACTGGGTATGGTCATGTGACCGTCAAGAGACTATTTTAAATTAACCATGAATTGAAGCCTTTTTTTTTTTTTTAACTTTTTGCACTAGGTTGGCTGTTTCTTGACTCCAGCACCTCAATGTTCGTAAATGCTCGAGCAAGGGTTTATCATGTTCCAGATGCCAAAATGAGTAAAAAAGGCAAAATGCCTGAAAAAACAGAGATGAAAGAAGGGCAAGGTACTTAAGTCATTAAGTGTTTCTTTTATTTAAGTGTTTGGCGTGGAAACACCAAGTTAAAAATGTAAATTACATTCTTCAGCAACATGTTAAATACATATGTGCATGTTATTTGTTCATAAATTGAAGGTATTGAGCATGACAAATCTCAGATTGCCACAGGATTCCAAATAACAATGATCCAATACCAATCAAGAGTATTCTTACTGCTATGTAAAAACTATAAATTGATTTTTTTAATAAAACTCCAAAGTAACTACTATCTTGGCACTTAAAGTCTTGTGTAACTTTTTTTTTCTTTTTGGTAGTGGGGATTGAACCCAGGGGTGCCTTACCTCTGAACTACATCCCATCCCTTTTTACTTTTTATTTTGAGACAGGGTCTTGCTGAATTGCTGAGGCTGCCCTGAAACTTCCAATCCTCTTGCCTCAGCCTCCCCAGTTACTGGGATTACAGATGTGCCCCACCATGCCTGCCCCTTTTAACTTTTAAAGAATGTAAATAGACTAGAAGGAGGAACCTGCGGATTTGATTCTAACATCTAAATATAGTATCAAATATCACTAGTTTTCTTAAAGGGATGGATAGAATTAATACTTACTTTCTGTCTAGTTTAAAGGTCTGACTCAAGATTTAATTAATACATATTAATGCTGTGTTTGAGTATTGTAGAAATAAACGTTTGATTGTTGTCTTCTTTTCTCCATGTTCAGGATTATAAAAATTGGGGGGATTTTGGAAATAATACTATCACTCTATACCAGTTCCCCGTACAAAGCATCACAGTAGTCAGCTAACATAGAACCATCTCCTTTTAGCACCATGCATGTAACTTTCTGTTAAGGCTTCATACCACCTGTGTTAGTGCCGGTTTGAAGTATCTGTCATTTAGACCTTACGTAGGCCTTTTTTAGGAAAGCAGGTTCTATCTAGCATCATTCCATCAATTGATAACTGGAAGGGTGCTGGTGTAAGCTTATGAGATGGTGCTGGTGAACTAAAAGCCTTCGGAATACCTGAGGAGTAGATAATATCACATAGAATGAGGTTATCTTTTATGTCTATGCAGAATCAAAAAAGGAACTGGTCCTAGAAAAGAACCCCAAGTGGGAGGCACTGACTGAAGTACTGAAAGAAATTGAGGCCGAAAATAAGGAGAGCGAAGCCCTTGGTGGCCCAGGTAGGAATAAAGGACATGATGACATTTGCTTTCAGAGGCTTTCAAATGAGCCTTAATTTGACAAGCTCTTTAACTATTTTGTTTATAAACTGTAGTTGAATAAATGCCAGTAGAATGCAGATCCTACAGCAGTCTCCATTCTATTCCTTTGATGTGATTTTTCTCCAGGTTAAATCATTGTGCATTCATGAAGCAGGTTTTTCACTGATTGGGTTATCAGGACTTCTACTTAAAGATTCAGTTAATCTCTGCATATGTATTCACCAGGCCTTCAATCTGGAATCCCTAAGGAATAAGCCAATGGGTTTGTGTTATATCTCAGCAAAAGAGGCTTAACTCCTGTGGGGTGACATTGGGCTAACCCTAGAAAAAAATACAAATTTTAGGCCTGCTGTCTTCAAACATGGGTATTCTAGTAGATTGGCACAATAGACCAAACATGAACTATAAATTTAAAAATAAGACCAGATCAAAAAGAAAAGTATCTATTGAGTCTCTGAACTCCTACAAAGCAACCAAGGAGCACCCAATCCTTGTGTTAGTAAATACACTGATAATAATATCCCAGAACTTACATGCTATGATTTATGACCCAGGGTCATAGGTGCTCACTGCAGAAAAATGAAAAAGATAAAGAAAGGGAGAAGGAGAAATTGCCTCTAGCAGCTGATGTTAACATTGGTGTGTTTCTTTCCAGGTTTCCTTTCAAGAGTTTTTTATTTCACACTATTAAAGTCATTAGCATAGTTAATAATTTTTGGATATAGAATTAATGGGTCAAATGGAATTAACATTTTTAAAGTTCTTTAGACATATTATCGCACCAATTTCTATCAAGTTCTCATTTCTTTTAGCAACCTAAGAGCTTATCTCTTTTTAACCTAGCTGTTTGTTATGAGTACTCACGTATCTGTACATATAGTTTATATACATCTAACAGTTTTATTAATTTGATTGAAGAAGATGTTTTGATATCTGATATATTTGATATTTGATAAATTTTGATATCTGATAAGCTCCATAGTTTCTGAAATGCATTTTTTTCTTCTGTGAATCGTATTCATTTCCTTGCCCAATTTAGACCATGTCCACAGTTTGTATTAGCTCTTTATACAGTAAAGATCACTAACGTTTGTCATAGTTATTAAAAGTTCTGTGACTTCACCTTTCTTAAATACAGCTTTCTCTATTATTCTTATAAAGTAAAGACAATGGTCTCTAGGGGAAGGTTGTTGTTTTGCGGTGCTGAGGATCAAACCCAGGGCCTGCCAGGCTAGGCAACTCCTCTGCCACTCCTTTACCACTGAGCTACACCCAACCTCTTCCACTGCTTTTAAGTCTAGATCATCATCTCCATCAAGAGATGGATAGTCACTTTTTTTTTAATTTATTTCATTTTTTTATTTTTTTAGTCATAGTTAGACCCAATATCTTTATTTTATTTATTTACTTTTATGTGGGGCTGAGGATTGAACCCATCACCTCCCACGTGCTAGGCCAGAGCTCTACTGCTAAGCCACAATCCCAGCCCACTTCTTTTTCTTCTTGAGTTGATTTTTAACATTTGACTTTATAATCCATTTGGAATTTATTCGGGCATAAAAGATCCTCTGCAAAGTTATTAATTAAAAAGAGCTTCCTTAAAGCCACTGTTCGGCGGCGGCTGTACTTTCCATGAGACTCTAAATAGCTCTGGCTTCAACTTGACACAAAAGATTTAAGAAACCCTGCCAAAGAGGGAAGGGAAGGCACGCGGTGAGCACCCAAGACCCCTCTTGGACGATTTGTAACTTGTGGCTCCATTAGAGGAGGCTGGGGTGCCTCTGCGTTGGAGGGAGCAGTGGGGGACGTGGGAAGGGACCGGCGCCGTCACCAGGTAACGCTCTTGCCTGCTCCTAGGCCAGGTGCTCATCTGCGCCAGCGACGAGCGCACGTGCGCCCAGCTGCGGGACTACCTGACTGCGGGCGCCGAGGCCTTCTTGCTGAGGCTCTACAGGAAGACCTTCGAGAAGGACAGCAAGGCTGAAGAGGTGTGGATGAGATTCAGAAAGGAGGACGGCTCCAAGAGAGCCGTGAAAGCCCACAAAAGACCCAAAGAGCCCCAGAACAAAGACCGGGCCTCTGCCAAAGACAGGGGTCTCAAGAAGAAGAAGCGAAAGCTGACGCTGACGCAGRTGATCGGAAAGTCGGAGGAACTGGAAGAGGCCGCGGACGTGGAGGAAGGTTACCGCAGAGAAGCGGGCCGCAGCCCGGAGAGTGGCGAGGAGGAGGTGAAGCACGAAGCCTTCGATGTCCATCTGTCCTCGGATGCCGCCTACGGGATCCTCAAGGAGCCGCTCACCATCATCCACCCACTGCTGGGCTGCAGTGACCCGTACGCGCTGACCAGGGTGCTGCACGAAGTGGAGCCGCGGTACGTGGTGCTCTACGACGCAGAGCTCACCTTTGTCCGGCAGCTGGAAATCTACAGGGCCAGCAGGCCCGGGAAACCTCTGAGGCAAGTCACAGAGAACATTGGCMGTTTGCTTACCTCCCACATTCCACTGTGACCACGCAGGTTGGGCTTATGGAACCTTATTTTGCTTTTTGATGAATCTGAGCAGCATGGGACGAATGTCAGATGCAGTAGCTGAGCATCAGACCTAAGGGACGACCCCTGTTCTTGTTGCACTGCACAGTGTTCTTTCTGTGATAGTTTCCAACTTATGGGGTGCAGTATCATGTTTTAGCATGCTAAGTTCTACCAGAAGTTATAACTATGACTTGGCTGAATCATTTCAATCTTATAAAATGTCTTTCTTATAAATTTTAATAAGTGACTCTCTAAATTACATCCATATAAAATGAAAGCATTTGGAGGGGGGATTACTATACCCAGTTTTCTTGAGTTTCAAGAAGGATCAAATGAAAAATCTACAGAAATACCACATGAGAAAACGATGCCTCCCAAGGAATATAGTGTTCTAGCTCTCCACTTATCTGAGGGGAAATAAACAGCAAAATTAATATCCTGAACTCAGCCTGAACCAAAAGCAGAGCCAAAAGAAACCTTTCTCGCAGTCTAACTAATGCAGCCTTTCAGAGTGGAGATGAATGGAGGAGCTGGATCAGAAATAATRCAGAGATAAAGAGATTAGATGAAGCTGGTAAAATCACTACAGGCTGGTAAATTTTTCATACTTTACTATCGATCAACTTTGTAGCTAGTGTGTGTGTAGAAGTTTCTTTCTTGTCTGAGCACAGAATAGCATATTATTTGGAGCAGAAGAGACCCCAGGGTACAGCTACCAGCTCTGTCAGTGGGAAATTAAGGCCCAGAAGTGGCGAGGGACTTGGCCTCAGCCACAGGATGCATCCACAGGAGAGCCAAGGCCCCTTAGCTCTTTGCCCACTGATTTCCCTGTCTGTTCGTCAGAGAAACATAATCCAGGAAGATGAAGGCTAAAAGAAAAACCAAGGCTGAAAAGGGAGAGTACCTCTGATAAAGAAAACCACTGAGGAGCAGAGGTGCTTAATTCAGCTTTTAGCTGCAAACAAGATATATTAAAAGCAGGCCTTTTTAAGAGAAAATATATCAAATTATTTTTTGAGATGCCTAATAGAATCCATATGTCCTTTCCATCCATGTACTTATATAAAATGTGTGACGGCTCTGTTCCGTTAATATGTGAATAAAAGAAAACCAAGAAAGTATTGTGAAGGTAAAGGTCATATAGATTCATCTGTTTATTTTTCATCAACGTGACCTTTTATAAGCCGGTTTTTATAACTCTTCTCCAGCTTAAGTTTGGCAGAGATGCAGAGAAAAAATTAAAAAAAGAGAAGCCTCTAAAATTCTGTTTTATGTTTATGAGGAAAGAATTATTCTATCCCTCCAGATAGATTTCAGTATTATCCTTCACTCTGTTCCCCCATTTGATGAAAGAATTAAAAAAAAAAAAAAAAACCTGTCTGGCTCATGAGACCTTTGACAGGTGGGCTTTAGGCAGCTGAATTTGACTAAGTACGGGATGAATGGTAACTTTGATTCTTAGTCAAACATTTATTATTTGAGCAGTCTGGGTTGCTGGTTTCAGATGCTCTGCTGCTCCTTTCATGGATTAAAAAGTGCGTTCCTGCAGCCTAAAGGAGTTCTGTCTTGACTTGCAGGGTTTACTTTCTCATATATGGAGGTTCCACAGAAGAGCAACGCTATCTCACCGCTCTGAGGAAAGAAAAGGAAGCTTTTGAAAAACTCATAAGGTACTCCCTCAATGATCAGCATGGATGTCTCGAGAACACCGAGAGCCTTTTACAGGCCAGGGGCCTCTTGGGTGGGGGAAGATGCACCAGCCCTGGGCAAAAGGGGAGGGGGAGGATGGGGAGTGGGGTCCAGCCAGGGTGTCCCCAGACTGTGCCTCTTGCATACTTGCCTTTTCTTCCTCCCTTTCTCTCCCACCATCTCCACTGCTTTTCAGCAGTTTAGTTAATAGAGCACCAGTTGTGTTCCCTACGTGGAATGCTTCAGATTAGAAGTTTTGTTTCGTTTTTTCTTTTTTTTTTTTTTTCCAGATTTTGGAATATTGGCACATACATAATGAGATACGTTAAAATAGGATCCAAGTCTAAATACAAAGTTCATTTATGTTTCAAATGCACCTTGTACACATAGCCTGAAGGTCATTTGAGACAGCTTTTGTAGCACACCTGCTTTTCGACTGCACCCCAGGATGGAAGTCAGCTGGGGGACGTTTCATTTGTACTATCATGTCAGCACTTAGACAGTTTTGGAACATTGTGGATTTCAGATTTTCGGATTAGGGATGCTGGGCCTATATTGGGAAAATGTTAAAGAAAACTTCTGCTTCTAAAAAACTATAATAGGAAACATCCAAAATCTTACTAAAACATTGCTTCTTTAAGAAATGTCTTCTTAAATCTCCCTCCTCCCCACCTTATGCACAAGATTCCTCCTTTTCCATTGAATTGTGATATTTTTTTTTCCCCTCCTTGTAAAATCTCCATTGTCTGTAGGTGGGTGGCTACTTTACCATTTACTGGGAAATACTTTTATGACCCATCCAGTTCTGATCCCCATCAGTAGAAACATTCCAGGGAGAAAAAAAAWTTAAGATGTTGTTTATCTGAACATATGTGTATGCTTTTAATAATGGAGATCTGTAGCATTCCAAATCCCAGTAAAAATGTTTTTCAGCTTAACATAAGGAAAATGTTTATGAGATATTTACAAACTGGGTGGTTACCTCTTGCCCCTGAAAGCTTTCTAGAAATCTGATGATCCTCCACCAGGGATCTTGTCAATGATCTTGTCATTGGAAATTGCAGTTAGGTATGGGAAGATGATCTCTAAGGGGCCCCAGAAGCCAGGGCCAAGGCTGGATCAGGCATCATKGAGCCAAGCCACAGAGAGGTTAGACCTTCAGAGACCACGGCCTGCATGAGTGTGGCAGGTCCACACCAGGCTTCCACCCCTCAGACACTGGCAAGGTACCAGTGGCAACAAGAGGGCAAAAATTATTTTTTAGTGGCAGTCAGCCTGCCAGGGCACTAGACAGGATTTCAAAAATGGACAGCCATCCTGCCGCACTGCTTCTAGGTTCTGGGTGGGAATAGTCTATGCCTTCTTGGAGTTTATCCTCCCGTGCAAAAGACCTAGACTCTAAATGACCATAAAGAGCATAATAAATAGGGTTGAGAGCACTGCCAACAGCAAAGGTAAAAGAAAAGATTTAGCAGGAGAGCGGATGGAGGGATCAACCTAGGCCAGAAGTCGGTCGGGAGCAGCTGCAGGAGGCAGGGGTGTTCAAGCTGGTTCTGGAAAAAGCTGTGGGATTTGCCAGACAGATGGGGTGGAAAGCCGGTCACGCTGAACAAAGGGCTCGGGAGTGCGAGAGGCCCGCTGAGGGTTTGGGACTTCAGGGCCCAGGACAGCACTGCAGCRCTCYGAGTGGGAATGTGACTTAGGTGAACTTGTAAAGGTTTTCTCTGACATGAAACTGAGAAATGAATCAGCGTGGAAACTAGTCAGAAGGCTGATGTGATTGTTGGGTGAGAGAAGGTGGCCTGCGTCACTGGGTTAATGGAGAGGACGGGACAGATTTAAGAGATATTTAAGGAGCTAGAATCAAAGAATTGGTGATGTGGGCCAGTACCTCCTACCCATTTTTTCACTCTTTCTTAAAAAACATCCTCTCCCTATATTGTCTCTAATTAAAGTAATTGTCACCAAATCACAAATGAACACTGAGAGCTAAAATATTCAGATTAGGGTATTAGTGTTCCCCTCAAGGGTCCCCAAAGCCACTCTGAGACTCACTGGTTCTCTAGAAGGATTCACATGACTCAGAAAGACTGTTATGTTCACAGTTGGGTTTATTACAGCAAAAGGATACAGATTAAATCAGCAAGGGAAAAGACAGACAGGTGACATCCAGGGAAACCAGGATTATGCTTCCAAATGTCCTACCCTAGAGTCACAGAGATGTGCTTAACTCTCCCAGCAGCCACGTGCGAACACACGGGCCAGGATTGGCCGCAGAGAAACTCATAGAGCTTTGGCCTCCAGGGTTTTCACGGGGGCCCAGCCACGCAGACCCCAAACCTCAGAGCAAAACCAGGCATTCACCACGAGCCACATTTTTCTTTTCTTTTTTTTTTTTTTTAAAGAGAGAGTGAGAGAGGAGAGAGAGAGAGAGAATTTTTAATATTTATTTTTTAGTTCTCGGCGGACACAACATTTTTGTTGGTATGTGGTGCTGAGGATGGAACCCGGGCCGCACGCATGCCAGGCGAGCGCGCTACCRCTTGAGCCACATCCCCAGCCCCAACGAGCCACATTTTTAGCATAACTGTCTAATCAAACGGGGACAAGGGGACATGGGCCCAAGGCCTCAGGCATTCAAAGCCCTCTTACCAGGAAGAATATTCCAGGGGTCATCACTCATGAGCCAAAGGCCATTCCCAAGGAGACAGGCCTGTCTAGGAAGTGGGCAGTTTGAACAGCTTCTGTCAAGTGAATTAACCCTTTCCCTGCAGGGCTTAGACCGCCAGGCAGGCATCGTCTGAGGGGGTGGGTTTTCTGTACCAGCCTTTAGTTGTGTGGCTGCCTCTTCTCTGATACATCAGGAACCTGATTGAGCAAGTGGTACTTTTAGTAGGTAGTGGTCAGGTACAGGGGACCCCATGTCACTCCTGGTTTATGCTCAGTGACATGTAAGTGAACCCCCGYACCTAGACCTCACCCAGCAGAACCTGGAACATGGACTCCCCCACTTCAATGGGACAATGTTTCCACATCAGGTTTTACTCTAATTTTATTTAAGATCCACCATAACTTTTTCTATGGCAATTGCCTACTTGCTATAAATGAAATCTCCCATGTTACACAACAGTCAGATGGTTCTGCTATCTAGAATCCTAAGATATTTGCCTTCCCAGAAAACTTGGGGAATTTGAGAGGTGTTTGTTTAGAAAACAGCATTTGAGGTGTCTCTCTGCTGAAAGAGCATTCCCCCCCACCCCCACCCCCGCTCTGTACTTAGAAGAAAATTGAACATGAGAATAAGATAATGTGCTTTTGCCAAGGCCTCCATGGGTGGTGTAAGAACAAAAGCAACACTCCTATTTAACCAGAAGGGAATGAATCAGGCAAACTGGCAGGGGAAGAATTGTTTGGCTGAGTTAAAGATGAGTAGATTACAGATTGATAAGAGAAAAGAGACCACGCTGCTAGGTATTGATAATAAAATGTTCCCAGGGTAGAAAACTGTAAGATCCTCAGCATGCAAAGTCTTGAGGAGGTCACTGCTTTTCAAAGGAAGTAGTGAGACTATTGGAAATTTTACTGTTAGAAGATACAGTCACAAGATAGGTTAGCTGGAGGGCTTGAGTAAGTGCCCATTTGAAGAGAGACTTCTAATACAGCACCTCCTTCCTATATGAAAATATTGTGCAAGCTGTTCATATGTCACTGAAAATATCAAAGCAAAAGCAGGAGCCCTCAGTACTTTAGATTAAGCAGAAGCAGGACGCTGAATTTCCAAAGTTATTTTGTGTCTATCTGGCAGATTAACTCCGATAGTTATGCTAAAAGGGAGGACAAGGAATCAAAGGTTTACAATGACAGCAAGTTCCTGATGAGAGACTGGTTAGGAAGGCTTATCTTCCTCAGAGTCCAGGTTTCATTTCTGGGGTATATTTTTTTCTCACAAATGGAAACAGTCATGGAATCATTTGAAATCATTTTGGGTATTTTAGTGTAACCCTGGATGTTTCGGGGATGCGGCTACCACATTCTAAGGACAGTACAGCAGTCCTAACAGCCACACTGATGCCTTATTCTGTGCCAAGCGCTGTTCAGAGCAGCTTACGTGTCTAATGCAGTCCTCAGAGCAGTCTTTTGAAGTGAGTTTTATTATTAGCCCCATTTTACAGATGAAGAAATTGAGGCACAAAGCCATTAAATGACTTGCCTAAGGTCACACAGCCAGCAAGTGGTTCAGATTCACATGACATGGAACAGGATCTGCTCCCCACAGGTGACAGACCAATCAGGAAATGGGGATGCCGGCCCTCGTGTGATATGTAGCTTAGCTAGTAAAATAAGCAGAAATAAAGAGGGGGGGGGAAAGAACAAAAACAATGAATTTGGTAATTCCAAATGTTCAAGGAAAAAAAAATTTATAGGAGCAGAAATTTTCTTGCCTGATTAGCCTTTTGTCCTAACCAGCGTGTGGCTGTGGTGGAGCAGCAAGCATGGCCTCCCCAGCCATTGCCAAGGTGAGGACGGTCCAGCSGGGAGAATGAGGAAGAAAGCACAGCTAGAACCTTGTCTGCCCCCTCACCATCTATTTATGCTGAACTGAGAATAACTTTGCATCTGTAGATGCTTTCAAATAGTCTAGAATTTAAAATTACAATTTCTGTTCTTTAGTGGTATTTTAAATGGTATTCTGCTCTAAAACATCATTTATCCAGAGTGGCTGAAGAATTGGTCCGTTTGATTTCATTTCCTTTAATCAGAAAATCTCAGTTGCTCCGACCCTTGCTGAGGTTGGTTAGTACTGACCGAGCCCCTTCTGCCTCGCCTTACTCTGGCCTGTTCTGCTGCAGTTCCTCAGTCCTGCGAGGTTTTTCCAGGGCTTTGTTTGTTTCCTCAACTCGGCTACAAGCCCCTGGAGGGAAGAGGCCCAGCGACTCTGTCTCTTCTGTCATACCTGGCACAGATGGGACACTCAGTACTCGCTGTTTCATGAGTTAATTATAGCATCCTTTACTGGTTTTGAAAAATGAGTACAGCAAACCCAGGATACTCTCGCGGTGACTGCTGAGGAACGTGTCATGCCATAGCTTTGAATTGCAAGCCTTAGTTAGAATTGTGATCTGCAATCACAGACAAAGACTGAGCTACCTTGAAGTTAGGGGTCCCTGTAYGGTGGTGTCTGCATCCCAGGGCCTAGCCCAGCACAAGGGGCACTGCACAGTGTCCTTCAGTGGATACCCGAGTGATGGTCGAACACTACTGCTGAGGTATAGCATACTGAGATGTTGATTTTCTGTTTCCATCTCTGGTAGAAATTTGGTTCATGCATGAACCTGCATTTCCCTTTAAAATTGAGGGTGCTTAAGGGAGCCACCCACCTGGAGATTTTTAAATCAAAGTGCTATCATATGTGTGTTTTCATTTTCTTAATCATTGATTTTCTAACCTCTAGTTAATGAGTACCCTGAAAATATATATATATAAATGATTTCATTTTAAGTACCAATAACATGTTAGCTTTGCACACAGCTTCAAATCAAGTCTAACATTTTTTACATGCATGATTATTGTCTCAAAATACTTGAATATAGAAAAAATATATAAATAGCTGGGGTTTTTTTTTTATTTTTTTTAACTCTAGAGGATCAAGAAGTAGCACCCAACCAAGAAATTCTTCCCGCTCCCTTCACCCATCACGTGCACCTCTGTGTTCCCTTCCGATGTATTTCTTGTACTCTCTTTTACAATGACAGTCACGTAGATCACATCAGATATGAAAATTCTCAAAAGATTAAAATCTAGAATTTCGAAATCAATTCAAAAAAATGTGTCAATGTCTCCTCCCCCAGGGAAAAGGCGAGCATGGTCATCCCTGAAGAGAGAGAAGGCCGAGACGACACCAACCTGGACCTTGCAAGAGGCACAGCATCAACAAATGCGTCCACCGACACCCGCAAAGCCGGTGAGTCCTGCCCTCTGCCAAGAACCTCTGTTGCCCTGAAGGAGCTTGGCTTTTCTCCAAAAACTCCTAAAAACAGAGATGGGGCCCCCACACTCCAGCCTCGGTTCTGCCATTTAATAGCCACACCTCTTCCCCAGAACAAAGCCACTGTGTCACCTGTAAAACACATCAGGTTGAGTCCCGTGCTCCTAAGCTTAGAAGTGGTTGTATCCAGTATTAGATCTAGAACAGTTGATTGAGACTCAGAATGCTCTTTTCCAAAGAAACTTTGGTGGATGCTGATTAGGTTTTGGTCTTAAATCAAAAAAGCCAATTTGACCCCCAGCTGAAGGGATTTCTCCCTCCTTCCTCTGCCTCTCCCTTCAGGTGTATACCTAGGGGAGTTACTCTGGGCACATACATCCCAGGTGTCTGGCAATCTCGTTTCTGTGCAGTGTTTGCACTGGCATGCTAACAAGTTCTGCCGAAGGCCAAGTACACCATGAACCAGAAGTAACCATTTCCCACACCCAAGTCCCCATTTTCCCATGACAGCAGCTGGTGGGTCTGAAAGTCCAGCTCAGTGGTAGTGATTGCCTAGCATGCACCAAGGCCCTGGGTTCCATCCCCAGCACAACAAAAATAAAAAATAAAAATAAAAATGAAAACAGCTGGGGTTGGCCAAGCAACATGAGAAAAACAATAAAATTGAGTTGATTTAACTACTGGTGAGGTCAGGGCCTCTGAGACCACTGGGTCTCAGAATTTAGTAGACTCCAGAGTAACCTCAAGTGCTTCCAGAACTGTAGATGCACTGGCCTCCATCCATAGACACTCTGATTCAGTGGGTGTGGAATGGACTCTGCATCTCCTCTGATGGAAGTGGTCCTTGGACCACGCTTTGGGAAACACTGCCTCAGAACATCTGTGTCTTTTTTGATAAGATTCTTAACAACTCATCAAGGTTGGTGACATTTCATGAAGGACTACAGAGTGGAAGACACTATGAGAAGGATATATAAGAGCATGTAGGTACCACACAGAAGTCTCTTAATGGAAGTCTGCCCTTTTTGAGTTCCATCCTTAAAGCCTCTGTATGAGTTTCCTATTGCTGCTGTAACAAATTCCCATAGACTTGGTGGCTTGAAATACCATGTGTTTATGGTCTTGCAGTTCTGCAGGCAGGTCAGAATTCCAAATTGTCCCTGCCAGAGGCTCCAGGAGAGAATCCCTTTCCCTGTTTTGTTTTTTTTTTTTTTTTTTCCAGTGCCTAGAAGCTATCTGCATTCCTTAGCTCATAGCCTCTTCGTCCACCTTCAAAGCCAGTACTGCAATGTCTTCTCTCCTCTCTGACCCTCCTCCTTCCCTCTTTCACTTCTAAGGACACATGGGCCTACCCACATAGTCCAGGATAATCTCCCAATCTCCAGATGCTTAACTTAATCACATGTGCAAAGTCCTTCTGACCATGTCAAGTGTCTTATTTACACGTTGCAGAGATTGGGGTGTGGGCATCTTTGGGGGGCCATAGCTCTGCAATACCCTCCATAGCTGTAAGTGTAGTCCTTAACAGCAGCATTAGCATCTCCTAGAGTTTTGTTAGAAATGGAGAGTCTTAGGACCCTTAAGTCCCAGCCCTACTCTTTACACCATCCCTGGTGATATGTGTGTCCATGAGAACATCAGAAGCTGTGTTCCTGTTTTTCTTGCAGTGTCCTCTTTTCCCATGGACTGTCTTTTCTCTGGACCCTCTTTTCTCTGGACTCACTGAAATCATGACAGCAGCTCTAAGGCAATTCTCAGTGAGCATGCGAAGTGTCTAGTGTGTGGCAGGCTCTGCCCTAGGACTTGGGAGTACACGCCCAGTGCCATGTGGTGAGGGCCCTTGGAGGGAACAAACCAGCGCAAACCAGAACAGACATGTCTGTACCCGTGAGTCATTGCAAGTTAGGAACGACCCATAGAGGCCTCTCGGTTCTGTTTAGTTTTAAGGGAATTCACCTCTGCTTTCTCTATAAATAAACGTTGTAGAAAAGAGAGAGAAATGTGGAATAATGCCACGTGGCATTATGTAACCATCCATCAGAGGATAACAACAGAAACACAGATATTAAACTCTATCAGAGCTCCTCCAAGAGTGTCTCTCCAGTGACATTACTGAAAAGGCTCCTTTTTTTTTTTTTTTTTTTTGGTAGGTGGCCAAGAACAGAACGGCGTGCAGCAGAGCATAGTAGTGGACATGCGCGAGTTTCGCAGTGAGCTGCCCTCCCTGATCCACCGCCGGGGCATCGACATTGAGCCGGTGACTCTGGAGGTGGGCGACTACATCCTGACCCCGGAGATGTGCGTGGAGCGCAAGAGCATCAGCGACCTGATCGGCTCCCTGAACAACGGCCGCCTCTACAGCCAGTGCGTGTCCATGTCCCGCTACTACAAGCGCCCGGTGCTGCTCATCGAGTTCGACCCGAGCAAGCCCTTCTCCCTCACGTCCCGCGGTGCCTTGTTCCAGGAGATCTCCAGCAGCGACGTCAGCTCCAAACTCACCCTTCTCACGCTGCACTTCCCCAGGCTGCGGCTTCTCTGGTGCCCGTCCCCCCACGCCACCGCCGAGTTGTTCGAGGAACTGAAACAAAACAAGCCGCAGCCCGATGCGGCCACGGCCCTGGCGGTCACGGCCGATTCCGAAACCCTCCCCGAGTCGGAGAAGTACAACCCCGGCCCCCAAGACTTCTTGTTAAAAATGCCCGGAGTGAACGCCAAAAACTGCCACTCCTTGATGAACCACGTGCAGAACATCGCAGAGTTGGCCACCCTGTCCCTGGACAAGCTCACGGGCCTCCTGGGGCACGCTGCCAACGCCAAGCAGCTGTACGAGTTCCTGCACACCCCCTACGCCGAAGTCGTGTCTAAAGGGAAGGTGAAAAAGTGAGCAGTCCTGTCGCCCCCCGACTGGCRCAGCCCTCTCTGCCAGCCGCACGCACGGGGTCATGTTAATCATCCGCTCAGTGATCCCTTCCTTTCCAGTGCTTTCAATGATTGTGCGTTCTGTCTCCAAGGTCGGCGGACCAGAAGCCAAGCTTCCTGTGCACGTTGGGCTTAGGTGTCTCTCTCAGTGTCCCTGGCCTCTCTCTCTTCCCCTCCCCGCGGCACTGTCCAGGTCAGGCCTAGTCTRTTCCATCTCTAAATGAGGAGTGTCAGGACCAGACAGAGGTTCTGCAAGTGTTCATAGAAGGCTGCTCCCAAGCCAGCAGGAATTTGTGTCTCCTGCACAAACTSATAAGACACACCATCATGTTCTTACCCGCTCTCTACCTAGGGCCCTCTGGAACCCTGAGAAGGAGCCTCTCTGCCATTCCTCACCAGTTCTTTCCACCACATTTCCTTCAATTTCATACTCCTTGGGGACTTCCTACTGCTAATTTAAGAGAGCCACTTCTAAAACTGGCTGACAAGTCTCCTAACCACCCAAATACATGCAGCACCTACTATAACTTGGTTATCGGAAACCAGTACTTTTAAGACATAAGATRAATTACCTGTTCACAGAATCGAGTGGTACAGGTGCAGGAGCCCTTAGAATTCTCAGTTCTTGCACATGGTCAGTCTCCTAAATCCCAAAGATCTCTAAGCCCAAATGAATACTCACAGTCTTGTAAAGACTCCCACTTTTCCCACCTGTCTTCACTAACTAAGAAACTCATGCCACATCCTCCGGAAACACATGGTCCTCTGAGTCCCCATGCCTCCTGTTCCTGTACCAGGCACCTCCTCCTTTTCCTGGGTGAGCTCTCCAACATGAGCAATCCTCAAAGCTTTTAAGATTGAGTTTTCTTTCTTTCCTGTTGAGATAAAAGGATTATAGATAAATGGAAGATCAAAGCATAGAATATATAAAAGCTCAAATGAAATGTATAAAGAGACTAATTCCTTCTAAATCTCCTCCTGATTGACTTAGGTCTGCTTTTTACTGAGGTGTGCATGCACGGTCTCCATAGCATCTCTGCAGTTTTTAAACTTTGATATTTAAACATTATTAACTTAGCCATTATTATTCACTGTTTAGTAACGAGCAGTCAATTTTCTACCTCAAGAGCTGCTGTAGGCATCAGTTCTGCTGTCCCTGTCATCCGGTATAACCTTTGATCAGTGTCAGCTCTTTCTTGGTTGGTCATGATGAACTAGGACAGTGACCCTGGTAACAGAAATATGTCTTCTCTTTTAACAAAAGCACTTACTGAACCTCTCATTGGCATCTTGATTTGTTGGTACTTAAAAGTATGTTGGTCCCTCACTGTCCGTGGAGACTRGTTCCAGAACCCTCCTGTGGCACCAAATCTATGGATGCTCAGGTCCCTCCTWTAAAACAGTGTAGTCTTTGCACACCACCTGTGCACATCCTGCTGTGTATTTTAAACCATCTCTAGATTATCTAAGTATTTAATACAGTGTAAATGCTGGGTAAGTAGCCGTTAGACTGTTCTGTTTAGAGAATAATGACAAAGGGGGGGTGTCTATATACATTCAGCACAAATGCAATTTTATTTTGTTTCCAAAATCTTTTCGATTCTCAGTTAAATCTACGATACAGAACCCTTGGATACAGACTGTGGGTTTGGAACTCCCTACAGGGCACTTCAGGAAAGAATTGAGGGGTATCAAGAGCCAGTTTGATGACCATGAACTCCGTAAGGTGATGTAGAGAACAGAGAAGGAAACAGGTGGAATAAAGATTTGAGCTACTAGTTTTGTCCCAGGGATAAAACTATACCCTCCAGGGTAAGAAAYAAACCCACTGAATGATGACAACATTAATTGTTGGCATTCACTTCTGAATTTATTATTTTATGGAAGAGTTCAATCATAGTGTATTGACCACTAAAATAGACATACCACTTCAAATGACAATGGTCATTGTCACATTTCTTCACCCTAGCCTAGCACTTCAGCTTCGGGTATGTAATTTCTATTTTTTTTCTTCTTGTATAATTCCACCTGCCTTTTATTGTTGTGTCATTACATAAAACAAAAATCTTCACATAGTGTGTTCCATGATGGGGGTTTCATTCCAAGCGTTCAACGTTCAAAACTTAAGTCCTTCTGAGAGCTACCATATTAAGCAACCCGTGTCATCTGATACAATGTGGATAACAGTCTCAACTGTATTTATTTCCAGTGTCCCTTAACTCTCAAAATCTGCCGCCTGCTCTTGTACCTACGGGGACATGAAGACAGGTACACCGTCTCTTGTATGTTTGAATTTCGACCAGTAATTTCTAATGAACTTTAATTGGTCATTATAGGTGAAGGACTCTCCCTGTTACTTCCTCTCCCAACTAAATGAGTGTATTTTAATGTATTTCCAGTTGTGGAAAACTTTCAGTATATTCATCAAGTATTTACTTTTCTCAAATTTTTTTATGAATTTTTACAATCAAAGAATCTTTGATAAAGGAACTACAGATGCATGCCGTTGCAAAATTAAAGTATTACTTTATTTTGTAGCAACATTTTACTAACTTTGCCTTTTTCCTTCCAACTAGCAAATACCCAATTTACTGGTGAACTCATGTGTAGCTTTTTCAAGACCTTTTTTAAAAGCCAGATAGATCATCATTGCTGTTCTGATTTTACAAGTTTTTTGCCTAAAAACTTGAAAACTCATGAAATATTGTGAGAAATCATTTTGAGTTTTGTTTATTTAAATCATAGTACCTCTCTTGATATTCCTTAAAATTACACAGGAAGAAATCATTTTTCATAGTGGCCGTAAATACTGTAAGTCACTGTTTCTTCAGTCTGAGGCTTAGTAGACTGGGTGTCTACTAAGAATGCAATTCCCCAGCTCAGCAGGACCTGAAGATAATTGTTTCTCGTTCATCAACCCATCAGGACACAAAGGAATAAATCCAGGTTTGGTGGTGGTGAGGTGACTTAGTACAAGACTAAGCCTGGGCCTTCAGCAGGAAAACCTTCCCTGAAGCAAATCTGGGGAAAGTAGCCAGAGGAGGGAGACAGGCATTATTGACCTTCGTTCTTGGTTTTGAAGCATAATTTGATCTTTTTTTTTTTTTTTTTTTTTTGGCTCAGAGAACTTTAGGGAAATTCTCCTTTGTCTTCAATTTAACCTAGAAATGGCCCCTGAAAAACCAACACATTAAGAAGATTCTTTTCTCAGCCTAGAGTATATTCACATGTCACCAGGCTCCGAAATGAGTTGTCACTGTGCTTTATTATTTTGCCTCATAGCCATTTCCTTTCCGATCCTGAACTTGAACACTTCATGACCCGTCTTTTTAGCAGCCTTTACCACTGTGCTAGTGTTTTTTTAATTTATGGTTGTGTAAGTCAAGATTTGGATGGGAGGAAGATGAAACTGAAATATATCTATCTGTCACCAATGTGTGTGTGCGTGCGTGCGTGTGATAAAATGTATATTTATTCAACGTCCTCCTCAGTATGTTACAGACAAAGCAAAAATAAAATGTATAGTGAAAGGGCATATATTGCCAACGTGTTAGTAAGTATTTAAAATTCAGAGTATCTTTTCTTTTTCATTACACAGAATAAATGATTAAAGCTGAACATTGGTGAACTGCCTGTGCTGTCTGACTTGCTAGTGATCCACTTTCTACAACATCAACATACTCCCCACTTTTTTTTTGCCATAAATATACTTTTCTGTGAGTTATTTTCACTCTGCAACAATCTACTTAACCAAGGGAAGGAGGAAGTATCCTCCTTTTGAAAATACTCAATTCTCTGGTACACAATGATTGCACAGTAGACACAGTTCCTGGGACATCTTAAGGAAGGTTAATTTTCCTGGTATGCCCACCACATGGATACTTGTTCCTTTGACATCAAAATTGGAAGAGAATTGTCCCCTTTGACACACCTGGAGATCACTGTGATTTTTTAAGCAAGTTTAATTATTAATTTACAAATTTTCTCATCTCAATGATTTAATTATTCTTGATTTGGTTTTACAATGTGGCTCCATATCCCTTTTTAATGAGACATGGGATACTTTATTACTCAAAATGCTTTAATATCTGAATAAAAATTTCGGCAGCCTAGTGAACCTTATTAGTAATATGACTTGCATTTGTTGAGGCTTTGTGCATTCTCATTTAATCCTCAACAAAACCATAAAGATGCTCAATCCTGTTTTACAGGATCAAAGCTGAAACACAGAGAGGTTAAGTAATTTGCCCACAATCACCCATAGTAAATGGTGGAACTGTGATCAGAAATCAAGTAGTCTGAATCTAGAGCCCAGAATGAAACACTGTGGACAGATTTGGGGAAGGAGCAGTTTGTGAGACTGGTTTGTGTCCACTTTCCTATATCTAATTACAAATATGCTCTAGAAAAAGCAAATTGTTTTGCATTTCTTGGCAAATTTATTTCTGCATGTCTTTGACTGACCAACCCTAAACCTCCAGGTCCTTGACTTTCTCCTAAACCAGTCTTAACATCTTCCTGATTTCCTCATTAATTCAGTCAAGAAGAATATTTTACTTCTGTTTTTTTTAATTTTAATGAGACTTAACTTTTTGAAAATTATACTTTGCAAGAGTATTGCCAACATGACCTCATATAACTCCCATATAATGATAAGACCCACTTCCAACCTCATGCATCCTTAAGTTAAACTGGTCAAGTAGAAGAGAATAACACACACACATACATATATGCTGTGTAAGATATATATATATATATATATATATATAATTTCTTAAATATAAAGAGAAATATAATTGGGTACTATGATATTAATATATTAAAAACTGCAAGTTGATATTAGTTTTAAGAATTCAGACAATTTTAAGAGGCTGGCCTGTTGCTCAATGGACTCGCATTCTATTTGCAAAAGCCCAGTGTTTGATCTGATTTCCTCCCTTGTGGAGTCATGGATAACCTTTGGGTGTTAAAGATTCATGG